AAACCAAGCCCTGAACGTGATTGGACTCAGATTCATCCAGAGCTGCATCCAAGTGCAGCTAGATACATTCTGGAAAGTGGTACTTGACTGTGCAGACCTCGATTTTGAAATCTCGGGAGGTATTGAGTGTTCCCTGTCTCCCACGGGGAGCTGAAGCAGCAGAAACAGTCGAGCAGCTGCTTCCCAAAAAACAAAGCACGGGGAGTGAACGGCGAGGGACGGGCGTGCGAATTGGCGCTGGAGCACTCGGACGTGCGCTATCGGTTCGGGAGAATCGATGCCTTTGACGCTGGATCGGGCACGCGGCTCGAACACCGGGGGAATTCACCGGAACCTTCCTAGCGATGGCTAGGTCAAACTGCTCCAAGGGAGTGGGAGGCAGGAAGGTGGAGCAGAGGTCGGGACCATGTTGAAGGATTATGTTAAAGCGTAACCAACATGGCGTCACGACGCTCACATCCCTGATGTGCAACAGATAGGAAGATGGTGAAGTCAGCGTACGCAACAATAAGAAAGAAGGAGTGCATGAAGATTAATCAAGAAAAGTCGGGTGGAGCATGTATAACGCCATAAGCAGTATTGGAAAGACCCAGCTCACCCTACTCTCTTACTCTCCCTCTTCAGCGTAGTATCTCTCAATATCCAGTGTCGAAACCCCCCGTCAGGTAATAGGGTTCTCTTTTCTTTTCCCATTGGACTAGATAGTCGTGCAAGTAACACTGTCGCCCCCACCAAACTRAGGGATACAAGGGAAGTCRAGGGAAACGGTTTTATATCCGTCTGTAGTTTTCCATGTGGAAGACACACACGAGAATGAATCCGGTTCCTCCGCAACCGCCCCAGGGCGGTAACACAGGAGTACTACTGCAGGGAGTACAACCACCRCCAAATGATGACGCARCTAGAATTAAGACTCTCCTTGACCTCTGCTTTGACGACGGTCTTTTTCCAGAGTCTGACATTGTTTTCGGYGAAACGGAAATCGTAGGAGTCTTGACCTTAAGTGATGAGATCGATGCAGCTACGGTCAATTGGTTAAAATCCARAACAGTTATAATAGTTTTCAATGAGCCTACAACTATTTTAAGTGTAGCTCAACGAGAGCAACTCATTCGCGTTTATGAAGACGCATGGTACCAARACCCTATGGTCAACCCTTCGCAAAAACGAGGTCCAACCCATGGCGAAGGACCAAATGTGATGTCGTATGTTGCAAGATCTGAAAGGATAGCTCAATGGATGATCATGAAAGGCGAAGACACTATCCCTACCAGGTCAGGTGCGGTCAAGGTTTTTTTCAAACCGTGGATGACCAAACATGAACTGGACACGATGAGAGATGAAGAATTAGCTGGGAAGTTTAGAATTATTGCCCTCAGAGTACCTCTGGAAGCTATTCCGTCACTAAGATTTGCAGTTCAGAAGTTTATGGGCAGAATTCTGACGATGCACCGACCAGACCGACGTCCAAACGAGCCCCGTTTCGGCAATATTAAGATTGACTGTGTGCCTGAAGTCAGAGAGTCCTGTCTGGAATGGGTAGTGGTTAGGAAACCTACAGGAGGGCAACTGGAGATCCAGTTCGCCAACCAGGACACCCCATTTTGCAACAAATGTTTATGGTGGTTCCACGACGAATTTGATCCCCAGTCATGCCCAAGATTTAATGAACCCATGCCAGAAGACCGAAGAGGAAGAGGACGAGGAGGGAGGGGTAGAGGAGGGAGAACAGGACGGGGAGGAGGAAGAGGAAGGGGAGGGAGTGGTATAGGTCAGCCGGGACGGGGGAGAGGTAGYAACGCCGGTACAGGCCRTGGTCAGAGTGGGGAGAGACCCCTGGGCGTGAGCCAAGGCCSACAAGCAGTAAGTCAGTCAGTCCAGCCCCAGCCAGCTCAGCCCCAGCCTCACCCCCCCCCTGCAGCAAGTCTSCCTCTCCGTACAAGGAACCAGGGCTSTCACAGTGCGAGTCAAATGAGGGGAGCGATGGGAAGGCAGATGCTGAGTCAGGCGGTGAGTCAGGCGGTGGCTCCGCACGCCATGGTACCATATCAGCAACCTCCGGTGGTTCCCCTCCCACAGGTTCCTAGGATTTCATCCGGGTACGCAGCTCAGTCTGTGAATTATCAGGCAAGACGGGTGACACAGGCCCAGTTGAGACCCTATCTCCCGGGCCTCCCATTGATCCCGTACTCACTCACGGGCGAAGAGTATGGCCTAAACATGTGGTCCCAAGGGCAACAGAATCTAGTGGCTCCGTTGAGATTTGCTCAAATGCCATCAGAAGCCACCATCACCACCTCACTTCGGCCAAGAGAGGGCTACTTTAGAACCCCCTCTATCCCCCCACCTCCTTCATCGGGGCAGTTGGCTTCACTCATTCAAGATTCATTTGTAACCCTGTCCCTTCCCATGGGTAGGGTGGTACCAGGTGTAGAAGCAGGGTCTAACAATCAAGGGGAGCCCCAGGGCTTCAGGTCATTCGCTGATCCACCCCAGCAGGGGTTTCGACAAACAGGGGAGACCACGTACAGAGAGCTGGTAGGGTTGAACCGAAGGG